GAGGGCACTCTTGGCTGCTTCTTGGGAGGCTTTTGGGAGCCTCGTCGGACCACTTGGAGCCACCAGAGAGCCTCTGAGGGCGGAAGGCTCGGCTGTTGGGATCGCGATCCCCTTCTTGGACCTCTCTTGGGGCCGTCTTGGAGCCCTCTCGGGCCCTCTTAAACGCCTCAGGCACCCTCTTGGGGCCGTCGTGGGCCGTCTTGGGGCCCTGTTGGAAGCCTCTTCGGCTATCTTGAAGCGGTCTTGGGGGCCTCTTGGGCCGTCTTGGAGCGCTGGGACGCCAAAAAGCTGAAACCTTGAAAAACCATGGAAAAACAAATCGGAAAACAATGAGTTGTGCCTCTTCGGGCATTCGTGGCAGGCCTCTTGGAACCTCTTCGGCCCTCTGGAGCTTCTTGAGGTCCTCTTGGATCCTATTGGGGGCCACTTGGGGTTTCCTGAGAGCATCTCGGGGTGGAAAACTCGGATGTTCGGTTCGTCCTACAACCCTTGGGCCCCTCTTCGGGCCGTGTTGGTGCCCTCTCGGGCCGTCTTGGGCGCCTCAGGCACCCTCTTAGGGCCGTCGTGGGCCATCTTGGGGCCCTATTGGAAGCCTCTTGGGCTATGTTGGAGCGGTTTTGGAGGCCTCTTGGGCCGTCTCGGAGCGTCGGGATGCTCAAAGGCTGAAACCTCGAAAACCAAGCCAACACCAAAATGAGTTGCACTTCTTGGGGCCTTCGTGGGATGCCTCTTGGAAACTCTTCGGCCGGCTGGGGAGTTTTTTGGGGCCTCTTGGGGCCTGTTGGGGGCTTCTCGGGGCCCCCTGCGAGCCTCTCGGGGTGGAAAGCTCGGATGCTCGGTTCGTGTTACCCCTCTTGGCCCCCTCTTGGGACCGTCTTGGTGCCCTCTCGGACCGTCTGGGGCGTCTCTGGCGCCGTCGTGGGGTCCCCTTGGGCTGTTTTGCGGCCGTGTTCGAAGCCTCTGGGGCAGTTTTTGTTTTGTCACGGCGACCCATGAAGCACATGGCCAGTAGTGAGTCCATGCACAACAACGATGCAAACTGCATCATGCGTAGCCCGAAGAGGCGCACTTGTCACCAAGTTCGAAAGTATCCCCCATGGTCACGCGAAGGTTGCCGTTGCAACTGGCAACTCGGACGAATGAGCCTGGCCACTCGCCACCACGTCCGCCAGGACCGTGTGTCTGGCACACGACGCTGGGGGGGTCATCGCGTCTTTATGGTCGTCTTCCCCCAGCAAGCCTCCGACGGCAAACCCTGGTCGCCCCAAATGCTTCACATACACATTCAAGTACTGGATGTCACCCACAGGCGATTCGCGGCGACTCGTTGGTGGGGGGCCCTGGAGCCACGACGCGCCACCGATCTGAGAGGGCAATAAATTAGACCAGCAATCTATCGTGGAGGAGAGAACAGACACAGGGGGGAGGCAGGCGCGAGGGAGAAAGGTGCTCCACAACAACTGACAGGCCCGATCGGATTACGAAGCCCGACGAGGAGCCATATTTTCATCTCTCTCTCTATCTCTCTCTCTCTCTCTCTCTCTTTCTCTCTCTGTCTCTCTCTCTCTCTCTCTCTCTCTCTCTCTCACTATCTCTTTCTCTCTCTCTCTTTCTCTCTCTCTCTCTCTCTCTCTCTCTCTCTCTCTCTCTCTCTCTCTCTATCTCTCTCTCTCGGGCGCCCCCGCCTTGGCGCACAGGCCGTCGGGAGTGGAGATCGGGGCCTCATAGCAGAAAATCACAAACGCCTCCAATGGTGCAGAGCTGCTCGGAACGACCAAGTTTGAAATGAGATGGGGGGGTCCGCCTCTCGCAGCGGTCAAGCGCCACGACGCCGTCGCGCGCCAGAATTGCTGCCTTCGCAGACTCCACTGAGACGACGAGGGGCCCCAAGTACTGAATCCATCAAATTTGAAATAAGAGGGGAGCGCCTCTCGCAGCGGCCAAGCGCCACGACACCGTTGCGCGCCAGAACTGCTGCTTTCGCAGACCCCACTGGGACGACGAGAGGCGCCCCCCAGTACTGAAGCCACCAAGTGCGAAATAAGATGGGAGCGCCTCTCGCAATGGGCAAGCGCCACGACACCGTCGCGCGCCAGAAATGTTGCGTTCTCAGTCTTCACTGAAACGTCGAGAGGCGCCCCCAGCACTGAAGCCCATGAAGTTGAACCAACCACCCCATTGCCGCGCTGAAGAGGCTGGACCATTGCCCAGAAATCCGCCGGCCCCCTTGTGGGGCCACCAGGCTGTAGGCGCGGGATTCGCAGTTTCCTGTGCCAGTTGTAGCTTGTAGTTTCCAGTGCTACAGTTTTGCTTATTGCTGGTTACTCTAACTAGTCGATTGACCGCGCGAGGGGGGGGGCCCAAACCAAATATTTAGCACCTCCTGGGCGCGTTGTCTGAATTGATGGGGGGGTTCGAAATCGACACCCCTCACACAGATCGGCGGAGTCAGGGTCCAAAAACACCAGGGATTTGCCACATCTCGAAAATTCTGTGCCACCCCTCACGCAGATCCGCGGGGTCAGGGTCCAAAAACACATGGGATTTGCCACATGTCTTAAATTCTGTGCCACCCCTCACGCAGATCTTCGGGGTCAGGGTCCAAAAACACATGGGATTTGCCACATTTCTGAAATTCGGCGCCACCCCTCACGCAGATCCGCGGGGTCAGGGCCCAAAAACACATGGGATTTGCCACATTTCTGAAATTCGGTGCCACCCCTCACGCAGACCCGCGGGGTCAGGGCCCAAAAACACATGGGATTTGCCACATTTCTGAAATTCGGTGCCACCCCTCGCGCAGATCCGCGGGGTCAGGGTCCAAAAACACATGGGATTTGCCACATTTCTGAAATTCGGTGCCACCCCTCACGCAAATCCGCGGGGCCAGGGTCCAAAAACACATGGGATTTGCTACATTTCTGAAATGCTGTGCCACCCCTCGCGCAGATCCGCGGGGTCAGGGTCCAAAAACACATGGGATTTGCCACATTTCTGAAATTCGGCGCCACCCCTTACGCAGATCTGCGGGGTCAGGGTCCAAAACCACATGGGATTTGCAACATTTCTGAAATTCGGTGCCACCCCTCATGCAGATCCGCGGGGCCAGGGTCCAAAAACACATGGGGTTTGGCACATTTCTGAAATTCGGTGTCACCCTTCACGCACATCCATCGCAAGGCGTGGTAACCCAAACTGCGAGAACCCCCTCGGCCCTTTAATCGCAAGGTGTGGCAACCAAGCCCGTAAACCACACACGTCTTACCAATCGCCAGGCGTGGTAACCCCTCTTGTGATCAGTTGGTTTTGCTGATTGCGAATCGGCTTCGCATGAAGTTTCGACGCTGCTTCACGACAGCGCCAAGGCCTCATGACTTAGCTCTTCCATGGCCCATTCTCCGAGAGAGGGGGCCGGCGGCATGGGGGCGAAGCCCGTGCGGATAAACTTCCCCATGGCTTGAATAGAAAAAAGGAGTCCACTCCGCCACTGTCCAAACGTCCGCAGACTGCACACCGCAAAGCCTTCCACGGCGTCAATCTGGACCAAAAAAGGAGAGCAGCTCGCCACCAAAAACAGACTTCTTCCGAATGTGAATTTGTCGGCGGGCACGCACTGCAACCTTTGATTGTGCCGCCATCCTCGAGGCCGCTCCGAGCGCCACGATGCCCTGCTCCACCAAGTGCAATAATATTTCGCTGCGGGTGCGTAGCACCACCCTCTGGCGCGCGCTGAGCCGTGGATGTGCCACTTCTTCTCGCACTCGCCCGAGAGTTTCTGCGCCGCTCTCTCCAGCGGCCCCCGAGGAGCGGGGCCCATCTCCACGACGCCCTGGCCCCCTTGAATACGTTCGCATCTTCTCCGCGTCGTCGAAGTCGCGGCTGAGAGCGAAGACGACACTGGCCACTTCTGGCTGGCCCGACTTCTTCTTGGCGGGCTTCGATCGACAGTGAAGTACCACTTCCTGTAGCTGCCGCGCTGTCTTGCCCTCGACGTGCGTTCGCCAGAATCACCCAATTTCCCGCTGCACTCCCTGTCCGAGGTCGCCTTTCGCCATGCCCTGCAACATTGCCGTGAACACGTGTTCGTACGGTACTCCGAGAATATCCACGCCCCTGCGTTTTTCCCTGCAGCCTTGTCACCTTTTTGTGGCACGCGATTCCCGCGGCCTTCATTGCCATGCATATTGGGCGCGCGCTGACAAGCAGGATTGCGCGCCATAGGACCCCCGCCACCTCCCCGAGATCCGCGGCGCTTGACAGTGCGAGGCGTGCGAGGATGAGTACCCACTTGGCCGCCGTCTTTTCTTCGCTGCTGTCGACGATGTCGTTGGTCTGCCTTTTGCGTCTTTGAGCGGCTGGTTCTCCAGTTCCTTCGCGCTGCAACCCCCGCGCTGGACCCTTCAGCTCGAAAGGCGCCGTCCGCACTTCGCAACGAGTCGAAAGGTGGAGCGCGCGGATGTAAGTGTTCTTGCAATATCGAAGAGGTGTCCGCCTCGAACGAGCGTGAGTGGCACCGGCGACGGTCTGGGTGTAAAGGGCCCTCTAGGTATCTGGATCGATTGACACAAACACCCCGATCGAAGTACGCTCGTGTCACTACATGTTGCTGAACTGCCACAACTGATCCATATACACCTTCGCAGTACGGGCACACGCTGGTTACGACTAGCGAGACCCACGGATCGCGTAGTCCAAGATAAGCAAGCCTGTGATGCAGCCGATGTAAAAGAGCGAACCTTCTTCAAGCAAGCCACTCCCTCCTCCATCTCGAAACCACAGACCCACTCCCCAAGCCCCTGGCGTCGACGCGGCGTGCACAACGGGATTGTGCGAGGCACCGTCGAGGGGGTCCATCCTGGCGGGGGCATCGCCGACGAGTCGGCTCCATGCCGAAGCCTCGTGAAATCCATCTGCGCAAACTCCTCCCCCAGCTCTGGATCGCGAAGTATCTGAAGAAACCCAAGAGGAGACATACGACCAACTGCACCTCCTTCATCATCCATCTCGTTCAAACTATCAAAGATATCGGCCTTCACTCGTTTTGCCCACGGGTTCGCATTATCAATGATGTCGTCGCCAATCGTCGTCTCTTCCAAGTCGAAGACGCGCGTGCCGAACAGCGCGGTGAGTACTTGATCACTCTGATGTGGCGAGCGCGCTATAGCTCGATACCTCTTTATTCTGCGAACTCGGGCTTCTAGTTTACCGGGGGCCATGCGCCAGCACTCATTCATAATAAAACACTCATTGCCGCGCAGTGCTGCATTCTGGGCGCAGCAAATGAGCATGCCCCGCCGCACTTTCCAGGGGGGCACGCTTCAGGGTCCAAAAACGCCCCAGGGAGTGAAACGCCACCGCCACGGCCCGTCGTCGTTTTTGAAGCTCTGGCGAGTAGCTGCTTTTCGAGGCAACCTCGGCCCCAAGGTATCTGGCGCGCGGCTTATGGCGGGCGGGTAAGACGATTCTACCTTGCCCAAGATTCAGCGCGTCACGGCATGATCCTGGTCCCGCGAGCACGGGAATGATCTCTTGCGTCGAACGGTTCCGGTGGCAGCCAATAGACTCCAACGATACGTCGAGCTCCTCGTTCGTCTCAATGCTCCTGCTTGTTAGCTCGTTCAATCCCTCTCCTTTCTGGCACAGGATGGCATTCGAAAGGTCGTCGGCGCGCTGGCGCAGAGACAAGTCAACGGATCGTTTCGTCAATGGGCTTTCTATATTCAACTCCTCATTCTCGATTCATTGTTTAGTCAGCGCTCGGGTCCATGTGTTGACCCCAGTCTGAAATTCCAAGACAGAAAGACGCACCACATAGGGATCCCCCAGTAATGCTCCGCAAGTTGGCTTGAGTAGAGTGGACGCGCCCTGCATACTCGGGAGGGGGATGACCGCATCGCGGTACCGTTGCTGTCCAAACTCACTGCCCAGGTCTTCTCTCGTCAGCTCCGTACTGACGTCGTCAAGCTCCGCCCACTCAATACTTCCGAAAGCATTGCTCAGGTCGTGAAAGCGTCGTAGACAGCTTCGACCAGCCTGCTTGACCCGATAAAGGGTGATATTCACTGCAACAATCGCGTTATCCTTACAGCGTCCTTTGATAGAGCCATGTACTGCATGAGGCATCAGCGGTAAATATGAGTTGCCTGCATACCAATCTTTGCCCAGAGGAGCAAAACTATGTACTGCGCGTAGCCCAAATGCCGTGTCTCCGATGTCCGTGACTCCTTCTGTTTGTTTGGCCAAGAGATGCCCTGGATCGTGTGCCAATGAGTCGGGGTGCGTCCAGCCGTACGTATTCTGACAAATCCATCTTCAATCGCGTTCTTGAAGAGCGGTGCCTCTCGAATATGTAATCCCAGTCCCAGGCCTCTCCCTGCTGGTGCCACATCTTCTGGTTACTGTGGACCACTCCCTATTAGAAGAGCGATCAACTCAAGAGGGGCGGACCATGGAGGAACTGCTCGTCGTTTTGCTGCTCGTCCCAAGTGTTTGCGAACTCGGTGAAAGTCTCCTTTGGCTGCTTTCCGATGTGTCTCATCCAACAGTGCCATGGTCTCAATATCCGTCCGTTGATTTCTCCACTCATGCCAATTGTGCAAGAAATGTGTACCCATGCCGCCTTGATGTCCTGGTAAGCTCCATTGCTGCATCCACTGTGAGCTGCTCAAACCGGCTGTGTGAACGGCGAGATGGTACCTTCGCGTTGTTCCGTATTTTGTGCCCGCAGCTCTCCTGGAAAGCCGATGTACCTCAGCGTGCTGTCTTTTGTTCCAAGCTTCCCACAAGGAGTCCAGCGTGCGTGCCAGGAAACGGAGCCACTCGCGATGTCGATATTCCTTCATCCGTTGTGAGAGTGCCTTCAGCGCAATCTCAAGTGCATCTTTGTCCTGCTCAATCATGTCCGAGTCGAACTGTGACCGTTGTTCTATCCGTTTTTTCCCGACCTAGGCTCTGCCTAGAAGGGTTTTTACTCGCTTAGCTTAAAGGGCCGGGCAGTGTAACCCGCCCCGGGCGGTTCCCCCCGTCCCCTGGGAGTGGTTCCCCCAGTTGCGCTCCCTGGGTGCCAAGCACAAGCAAAAGCAAAGGCAAAAGCAAAGGCAAAAGCGAAGGCAAAAGCAAAAGCATAGTATAGCATAGCATGGCATAGCATAATGATACCGGAGAAAAACCCCAATCAGATTTTTGTTAGGGCTATAGGGCTATAGGGCTATAGGGCAATACGGCTGTCGGGGTATAGGGCTATAGGGCTATCGAGCTATAGGACTGTGACCTATAGGGGCTACAGGGCTATAGGGCTATACGGCTATTGGGCTATAGGGCTATAGGGCTATAGGGCTATTGGGCTATTGGGTACCCCCGGGAGCCCGGGCACCCCCGGGCACCCGGGCACCCCCGGGCCCCCGGGCACCCGGGCACCCGGGCCCGGCCACCGAAATCGGCCACCCGGGCACCCCCGGGCACCCCCGGGCACCCGGGCACCCGGGCACCCGGCCCCGGCCACCGAAATCGGCCGCCCACCTCACCTCAGCTTTATATCCGCTAGGACCCCTACAGAAGCAAGCTCTGATTGGGGAACATAGCATAGCGCAGCACAGCATCGACTATTGCTGCTATATGTATACTAATGTTACGGCGTTTACCGCTCCTACTAATGTTGCTTTCCTAGAGGCTCCAACTCCTAGGTAGGGTCGCACTGGGATAATTTTGTAAGAAGTATCGTCGCTCTTTTCTTTTTGATAATCGGGATCGTCATATAATGATCGTCTTGTGAACAGCTCCTCGCCCACCGTGATCATCAGGGATTCCAAGTACTCGAACAGTGGGTCAGGGGAAGATCTATTGATGAGCGTATTAACTTCGTCCGCGTTCTGCTCAAGGTGCTGCTCAACTTGTGTGATGAATTCCTCGCATCATCATCATCATCATCATCATCATCATCATCATCATCATCATCATCATCATCATCAGGAGCTCCTCCTCCTCCCGCTGCCAGCGACGACAGCGTCGAGAACGCCACCGACGACGAGGACGGCGATGACGGCGGCGGCGGCGGCGACAGCCTCCAGGGCGCCCGCGGCGCGCGGCGCGCGCCGCGCCGCGCTCGGCGACCCCCCCCCTGCGGACCGATCGCGGCGCGCAGCAAGCGGCGCGAGAAGGCCCGCCGCTCGAGCGGCGGCCTGCTCCGTGCCACGGGGCCACCCACGCCGGCGCCGCCGACGACGACAGCGGCGACCGACGCCGACGACGATGGACGACGGACGACGGACAACGGACGACAGACGACGGACGACGGCGACGGCGACAGCACGGCAACGGCGACGGCGACGGCGACGGCGACGACGGTTACGACGACGAGGACGACGACGACGACGAAGACTATACGACGGCTACGGCGGCGCGGCGGCGGCCGCGGCGGCGGCTGCCGAAGAGGACAACGGCAGACGACGACGGACTATGGCGGCGACCGACGACGAGGACGACCAGCAAAGAGAATGAGGGGAGGCCACGACGGCGAGAACCTCCCCCCTGGGGCGAGGAGCGAGAGGGAGAGAAGGGAAGAGCGGGCGGGGAGGCGGAGGGGGAGGGAGAGTCAGAGGAGCATTTAAAAAGGCGGGGGGGCAGGGGGAAAGCGAGGAAGAGGAGGACGGGGAAGGGAGGAATGGTGGGGAGGAGGAGGCGGAGGGGGAAGAGAAGCTGGAGGAGCGAGGGGAGTGCGGAGGAGCGAAGGGTAGTGAGGCGGAGGAGGAGAGACAGAAGATAGAGGGTGGACGTGGTGGGGCGGCGGCAGGAGACAGAGAGTAGAGCAGAGGAGGGGGAGGGATTGGAGCAGGGGAGGGGGAAGAGGAAGAGGTGGAGGACCACGCAGGGCCAGGTGAAGGGGGGGAGAAGGTGAGAGGAGGATGGTCTGACCCATCCCTCCCTCCTACCCTCCTTCCCGCTCCCTTCTCCTCCTTCCCCTCCTTATCGGCCTCGCTCGCTCCTCCCCCTCGACCCCCCTCCCCGCCTCCTTTTCTCTCCCAGCCTTCCCGCCTCCTTCCCCTCCTTCTCCCCCTCCCCTCCTCTCCCCGCCCGCCCCCTGTCGAGGAGAGACCAGCGACGGAGGAGCCCAGAGGAAAGAGACCCGCCGATCTCTGCGGGGCTGGCCGGCGCCACCCCGAGAGGACTCGGGGGGACCCTCCCGGGGCAGGACGAGGCAAGACAGACAGAGCCAACAGGTGCTCGGCGCGCCTCGCTTCCAAAGAGTGACGACGACGGCCTCGCTCGTCGTCGCCGTCGCCGCCACGCTTGAAGTGGCGACATCACGCGACGGCCTGCGCGCGGCGCACCGCCCGGAAGAGAGGGCGCCCACGGCGCGCGGACTCCGCGCCAGCGCAGCCCGCGGGCGCACGCCCGCAGGGCCCTGCCCCTGCTGCTGTACGCCGCCAAAGTGCCCTCGGGCCTGGAAGGCCTGTCTTTAGACAAGCGCGTTCCAGGGTAACTACTCTGGATCCGCCGCGGGGGATTCACGATCCATTACATCGAGGCACACATGTGTGTTTCCCTGACGTTTGCGAGTAGGCACTGTGCGAGTAGTGAGACGCGCTCGGTGAGTCTTGGCCTCTTCCGAGACCCTCCCTGCTCTCAGGGCGGCAAGAGAAACGGCGCACCCCGGGAGACGGAAGGGGCCGTGGAGGACGGAAGGTGGCCCGCCCCCGCCGCGGCACAGCACTGCTGCGCTCGAGAACGACAGCTGGTCGGCAAGGGCCACAGCGCGGCCCAGGGCCGCGGGTCGCGCTCACGCGGCAGCCGCGGCGGCCGCCGGCGTCATGGACTCGATGCTCTCCTGGACCTTGTCGGCCTGTCGGGGCCGCGGGGGAGCTCTTCACCGAGATGCACACACACGCCCTCTTCCCCTTCCTCCGACCTCTCCCTCTCCATCTTCTGGGGCTCCCCCTGCGCTTGTCCGTCTTTCATCGCACTCCTCCGACTCTCATCCTCTCCTTTCTCCTCCTCCTCCTCCTCCTCCTCCTCCTCCTCCTCCTCCTCCTCCTCGACGGTGACGGCTGCGCCCACCCACTGACGCATGCAGACGCGAGGGGCCATAGGTTAAAAGGAGGTCGCGCCTCTGCCAGGAAAGGGACTGCCAGATGCTCCCTGGCTCGGGGCGCCCCAGCCACCTGCCTCGAGCGAGGTCGCCCCGACGGGCATAAGGAGAGAGCACGGGGCTGAGGGAAGGGGGGGGGGGAAAGAGAGGGACGCACAGTGCTGTCGCGCACAATGCTGGCGCGCTGTGATCCTGGAGCCGACAGGGCGCGAGCGCCGCGGGCATCCAAACGCAGTGAGCACGCGCGCAAGCGTGCAGGGCTGCGGCACCTCTTCGGACGAGACAAAACGAAACGAAGGCGGAGGAACGAGGAGGGGCAGCGGGGGGGGGCTGGGGGAGAAAACGTGAGGGAGGAGGGAGGAGGCGAGTCCGTCGAAATAAGCACGCTGCTGTAGTCGGAGAGGGAACGCGGGCAGGGACTTGAACTGGTTCTTGAGGGGGTCGTTGCGTAAGGATCGAGTGTGCTAAACGCACTTGGCCATCGCATGCTATGACAGCGGAGGGAGAAAGCAGGAGAAAGGAGAAAGGGAGAGGAGGAGAGAGGGAGAGAGGGAGAATGGGAGTGGAAGAGAGGGAGAGAGGGTTGAAGAATGAACAGAAGCACGAGGCGCCTCTTCCTCTTCCCATTCCTCCTCAATTAATCCTCCTTATCGTCCTCATCATTGTTGCCTCCCCTCATCGGAACAGCCCTCGTCACTGGAATATATGTGTCTAAACAAACGCTGTCCACTATTCCTCCACATCCCCTTCCTCATGACTATCGGGAGGGTCGTCCTCCTCTTCTTCTGCCTCGTCCTCCTTTCCTCCCCCTTCTGGTCCGCATTATCATATTCCTCCTCCGCTTCCTCCTCATCATCAATATCGACATCATCACCATCACCATCATCATCATCCTCATCAGCATCAGCATCAACATCAACAGCATCATAATCATCAGTATCATCATCACCATCATCATCATCATCATCATCATCATCATCATCATCATCATCATCATCATCATCATCATCATCATCATCATCATCATCATCATCATCATCATCATCATCATCATCATCATCATCATCATCATCATCAGCATCAGCATCATCGTCATCATCATCATCAGCATCAGCATCAGCATCAGCATCAGCAGCATCATCATCATAGTCCTCCTCGTCATGCTGATCATCTTCACCCTCCAGCTCATCCTTCGGTTCATCATCATCAACATCAACAACATTGTAAGTATCATACGAAACATGTTCATCTGCATGTGCACCATAACCATCGATGAGGTGGCTCGTCCTCATCACCAACAGCATCAGGGTAACCCCCTATCGACCTTATCATGTACGTCGTGCTTGTCAATATCGTCATTGTTCCCGTCATCGTAATCAACGCAACAATTATCATCATCCTCATCATCATCATTAGCAGCAGCATCATCAGCAGCAGCATCAGCATCTCCATCATCCCCATCCTGCTCATTCTCACCTGCATCATCACATCCACCAGCACGATCATATTCATCACCATCATGATAAAACATCACCACCATCACACTCACAACCAACATCATCACCACCACCACCATCATCCTCACCATCACCATCACCATCAACATCACCACCGTGCCCGCTGGCACGTCGAGGCGTGGTAGGATGCCAGGTGCTCTCCGGCAAGTGTTCTGTCAATATTCAAGGATACCACCCTTCCTCTCTTCACGCTTTGCTAGATGCATACCTCCTCTCCTGAGGGTCCTGAGACTCCCTCAGACTCTCCACGGCTGTCACGACAGCCCAAGAGGGCCACCAGGCCCGATGTGCCGGCAAAGATGGCCCCATTCGCCGGCCCAACGGGCAAGAGGCGCGCCAAGATCAGCGGCCCAGACCGTGTGGTGTGCAATGACCTTCGGCGAGACTGGGTCGTGGACCAAAGACCTTGTCGGGAGGCCTCTTGGGGTCTCCCGACATGGCCTTGTCGGGGGTCCTCTCGGGGGTGTTTTAGGGACCTGTGGGGGCCTCCTGGGGGCCCCTTCGGGGCTTGCTGGCTGTCTCGGGGGTCATTTTCGAAGGAAAGGGCTCCAAATGGCAATTCGGATCCCCCCTTCGGGACTTCTTGGGGGCCTCTGGAGGCTCCTTGGGGGGTTTGGGGGCCGCGTTGGGCCATCCAGACATTACTTTGGGTGTCTTTGAGCGCTCTTGGGCCGCGTCGGACCATCTTGAATTCTTGTGGAGGTACCTGGGAACGTTCCTGAAAAGTTCTGGGGGCCTGGAAGGCCGCACCCAGGAGCAAAACCATTTCTGACCCGAGTCGGGAGTGGAGTGGGCAGGGTGCGTTTCACCCAAGGACCCCAAGGGGCGGCCCCGCGCGCGCGGACCAGCGGAAGGGCGTTTCACCCAGGAGTCGAGCGGGAGCTCGACTCCTGAGTATAGGGCGAGGAAGGCGTGGGCGAAAAGTCTAGGCCACAGCGTGAAAATTCCCAAAAAATGAAAACGAGAGCGCGACTCCTGGGCAAATCGCGGGCCGCCTCGAGCGAGATCGCGATTCATTAGAGGGTTGGGGAGTCCCCAAGGACTCTCCGGAATTCATAAATCCTGAGGAATATTTCGGGCCCACCGGGGCCCTCCCATAGGAGCGCGGAATCATTGGGATATCATGGAATCCCCTGGCTCTCCAAGGATCCCGGCGAATCAGAAGGCCCGCTCAATAATCAATTGGAATACAACGGGGTTCTTCGCAGGAATTCATCACAAGTCTAAAGGAACCTTCTGCAATTCCGAAAAACCCACGGGAATCCATAAGAATCCCCCAAAAATTAGCCTGGCGAAGGACCCAACCATATGCAGTTGTGAATGCCGCAATTGTGCTGGGTGGTGGCGGACGCATGCGGGCGGTGCCACTGGGACCTTCGGTGGAGCTCCCTATGGGGCCACGAAACGCTGTACTGGGTGGGTGAGACGCGGTCAGCAAGGGCTGTGCTGCGTGGTGGCGGACGCATGCGAGCGGTGCCACTGGGACCTTCGGTGGAGCTCCCTATGGGGCCACGAAACGCTGTACTGGGTGGGTGAAACGCAGGCAGGGAGCAAGGGCTGTGCAGGGTGGTGGCGGACGCATGCGGGCGGTGCCGCTGGGACCTTTGGTGGAGCTCCCTATAGGGCTACGAAGCGCTGTTCTGGGTGGGTGAAGCGCAGGGAACAAGGGCTGTGCTGGGTGGTGGCGGACGCAAGCGGGCAGTGCCACTGGGACCTTTGGTGGAGCCCCCTATGGGGCCACGAAACGTGCGAGGTGTGTGCCAGAATGGGGTGCGGAACCGCATGCCAGCGCAGCCACTGGGGCCTTCGGTGGAGCTCCCTATGGAGCCACGAAACGTGTGAGGGGTGTGCCGAAATGGGGGGTGGAACCGCATGCGAGCGCAGCCACTGCGGCGTTCGGTGGAGCTCCCTATGGGGCCACGAGACGTGTGAAGGGCGTGCCGAAAAAGGGGGTGGAACCGCATGCGAGCGCAGCCACTGGGGCCTTCGGTGGAGCTCTCTATGGGGCCACGAACCGTGTGAGGGGTGTGCCGAAATGGGGGGGGAACCACATGCGAGCGCAGCCACTGGGGCGTTCGGTGGAGCTCCCCATGGAGCCACCCACGAAGCGTGTGAGGGGTGTGCCGAAATGGGGGGTGGAACCGCATGCGGGCGCAGCCACTGGGGCCTTCGGTGGAGCTCCCTATGGGGCCACGAAACGTGTGAGGGGTGTGCCAGAATGGGGGGTGGAACCGCATGCGGGCGCAGCCACTGGGGCCTTCGGTGGAGCTCCCTATGGGGCCACGAAACGTGTGAGGGGTGTGCCAGAATGGGGGTGGAACCGCATGCGGGCGCAGCCACTGGGGCCTTCGGTGGAGCTCCCTATGGGGCCACGAAACGTGTGAGGGGTGTGCCAGAATGGGGGGTGGAACCGCATGCGGGCGCAGCCACTGGGGCCTTCGGTGGAGCTCCCTATGGGGCCACGAAACGTGTGAGGGGTGTGCCAGAATGGGGGGTGGAACCGCATGCGGGCGCAGCCACTGGGGCCTTCGGTGGAGCTCCCTATGGGGCCACGAAACGTGTGAGGGGTGTGCCAGAATGGGGGGAACCGCATGCGGGCGCAGCCACTGGGGCCTTCGGTGGAGCTCCCTATGGGGCCACGAAACGTGTGAGGGGTGTGCCAGAATGGGGGGTGGAACCGCATGCGGGCGCAGCCACTGGGGCCTTCGGTGGAGCTCCCTATGGGGCCACGAAACGTGTGAGGGGTGTGCCAGAATGGGGGGTGGAACCGCATGCGGGCGCAGCCACTGGGGCCTTCGGTGGAGCTCCCTATGGGGCCACGAAACGTGTGAGGGGTGTGCCAGAATGGGGGGTGGAACCGCATGCGGGCGCAGCCACTGGGGCCTTCGGTGGAGCTCCCTATGGGGCCACGAAACGTGTGAGGGGTGTGCCAGAATGGGGGGTGGAACCGCATGCGGGCGCAGCCACTGGGGCCTTCGGTGGAGCTCCCTATGGGGCCACGAAACGTGTGAGGGGTGTGCCAGAATGGGGGTGGAACCGCATGCGGGCGCAGCCACTGGGGCCTTCGGTGGAGCTCCCTATGGGGCCACGAAACGTGTGAGGGGTGTGCCAGAATGGGGAGTGGAACCGCATGCGGGCGCAGCCACTGGGGCCTTCGGTGGGGTTCCCTATGGGGCCACGAAGCGTGCGAGGGGTGTGCCAGAATGGGTGTGGGAGGGGGAGGAGGGGGGAGGAGGGAGGGAGGAAGGAGGCGGGAACACGGGGCACCGTCTCGTCAAAACGAGGACCCAACACCCAACACCACAGGATGGTTGGGAAAGGGGAGGAGGAGGAAGGAGGAAGGAACGCGCGGGGCGACGTCTCTTCAAAACGAGGACCCAACACCACCGGATGGTTGGGAAAAACTTTACGATTCCATGAGCCCACACGAATCCTCAGAATTCTGTAGAAATCCGCGGGTCCGCAAGAATCATCCGGAATCACTCGGAATCCCATGAACCCCCGAGGATTCCTTGGGATCCTGAAGGGCCCCTATGGGTTCCCAGATGTCCCTGAGGATTCGTAAAGATCCCCAAGAATGCCTGAAGAATCCCTGTGGATTCCCGAAAATCCCGATGAATTGCTGACAGACTCCTGAGGATCCCGGTGAATTCCTGAAAGATTCCTGGAGGGTCCTGAGGATTCTTCGGGGCTCCTGGAAGGTTCAAATTAGCCTGGCGAAGGACCCAACCATATGCAGTTGTGAATGCCGCAATTGTGCTGGGTGGTGGCGGACGCATGCGGGCGGTGGCACTGGAACCTTCGGTGGAGCTCCCTATGGGGCCACGAAACGCTGTACTGGGTGTGTGAGACGCGGTCAGCAAGGGCTGTGCTGCGTGGTGGCGGACGCATGCGAGCGATGCCACTGGGACCTTCGGTGGGGCCCCCTATGGGGCCACGAAACGCTGCACTGGGTGGGTGAAACGCAGGCAGGGAGCAAGGGCTGTGCAGGGTGGTGGCGGACGCATGCGGGCGGTGCCGCTGGGACCTTTGGTGGAGCTCCCTATAGGGCTACGAAGCGCTGTTCTGGGTGGGCGAAGCGCAGGGAACAAGGGCTGTGCTGGGTGGTGGCGGACGCAAGCGGGCAGTGCCACTGGGGCCTTTGGTGGAGCCCACTTACGGGGCCACGAAACGTGCGAGGGGTGTGCCAGAATGGGGTGTGGAACCGCATGCCAGCGCAGCCACTAGGGCCTTCGGTGGAGCTCCCAATGGGGGCCACGAAACGTGTGAGGGGTGTGCCGAATGGGGGGTGGAACCGCATGCGAGCGCAGCCACTGCGGCGTTCGGTGGAGCTCCCTATGGACCACGAGACGTGTGAAGGGCGTGCCGAAAAAGGGGGTGGAACCGCATGCGAGCGCAGCCACTGGGGCCTTCGGTGGAGCTCTCTATGGGGCCACGAACCGTGAAGGGTGTGCCGAAATGGGGGGGGGAACCACATGCGAGCGCAGCCACTGGGGCGTTCGGTGGAGCTCCCCATGGAGCCACCCACGAAGCGTGTGAGGGTTGTGCCGAAATGGGGTGGTGGAACCGCATGCGGGCGCAGCCACTGGGGCCTTCGGTGGAGCCCCCTATGGGGCCACGAAGCGTGTGAGGGGTGTGCCAGAATGTGGTGTGGAACCGCATGCGGGCGCAGCCACTGGGCCTTCGGTGGAACTCCCTGTGGGGCCACGAAAACGTGTGAGGGGTGTGCCAGAATGGGGGGTGGAACCGCATGCGGGCGCAGCCACTGGGGCCTTCGGTGGAGCTCCCTATGGGGCCACGAAACGTGCGAGGGGTGTGCCAGAATGGGGGGTGGAACCGCATGCGGGCGCAGCCACTGGAGCCTTCGGTGGAGCTCCCTATGGGGCCACGAAACGTGTGAGGGGTGCGCCAGAATGGGGCGTAGAACCGCATGCGGGCGCAGCCGCTGAGGCCTTCGGTGGAGCTCCCTATGGGGCCACGAAACGTGTGAGGGGTGTGCCAGAATGGGGAGTGGAACCGCATGCGGGCGCAGCCACTGGGGCCTTCGGTGGAGCTCCCTATGGGGCCACGAAACGTGTGAGGGGTGTGCCAAACTGAGGGGTGGAACCGCATGCGGGCACAGCCACTGGGGCCTTCGGCGGAGCTCCCCATGGGGCCACGAAACGTGCGAGGAGTGTGCCAGAATGGGCGTGGGAGGGGGAGGAGGAGGGAGGAGGGAGGGAGGAAAGAAGCGGGAACGCGGGGCACCGTCTCTTCAAAACGAGGACCCAACACCACAGGATGGTTGGGAAAAGGAGAGGAGGAGGAAGGAGGAAGGAACGCGGGGCGACGTCTCTTCAAAACGAGGACCCAACACCGCAGGATGGTTGGGAAAAATCCAGACGGACCCCTTCGGATTCCCATAGGCTCCCACGGCTCCATAAGGTTGACTCGTGTATATCCCCGCTGGTTCCAAAGGATTCCTGGGAATTCCCTTGAATGTCTACATAAGGTTTCCAATGAATTCCTCGGAATTCCTGGAAATCCTTGGGCGCTCGGGCTGTTTCCTGGAAATCCCTGCTGATTCGTACAGATTCCCATTAATGCGCTCTCCTATGGACCCCTAGAGACCCTATGGTTTGCTGAGATTTCTGGGGGATCGTTGGAGATTCTTGGGGATCCCTCCATATTCTTCAGCTGGGGGCCCCTCCAGAATGCTACGGATTCCGAAGGGGCTCCTCTGGCGCCCCATGGATTCCTACGTCTTCCTTTGGGTTCTCACGGATATCGGACGAGTCTGAAAATTTCAAAGACTCCCTACAAAGATTGCCAGGGATTCCTGGGGGCGCACGGAATCGCAAGGATTCCGAAGGATTCTAAAATATTCAAGGAGTGTCCGCTGGACTCCTCTCATTCCCTGGCATTTCTAAAGACCCCAATATATTCCTATGGGTGATTAAAAACCCCATGAATGAATTCCTAAAGATTCCTACGGACCCCCGTGGGGCCCTGACGATTCTACGAGGTTCCCATGGATTCCGATGGCCTCCTTCGAATTCCGCATGGCCCCTATAATATTGCGGATTCCTATGATATCCTCAGAATTCCGCTGGGTTCCTGGTGCCCCCATACAGCTCCCCAGCAAAAATACGTAGGTTTCCCAAGGGCTCTGCAAGTGTCTCTCAGACATCCCAGTTGGCCCCATCTCCTGCCGACGAGGGCGTCGACGGCGTCGCCGCCCTCGCGCGCGCGGTCGCCGAGGCGCGCGACTGCGCCTAGCTGTCGCTCGCGAAGGTTGACCGGAAGAACATGTTTCACTGGGCCGGGCCCACGCCCGCCCATCGACGCTCCCCCATCTCGGTCGCCGTCGACACCGGCGCGGGGGAGACAGCGGCAGCGGCCCCTCGGCGCACGGCGTTCGGGGGGCGGGCGCAGCCGCGGCAGCGCGCTCGCCTGCCGCGCGATCTCGTCGCCGCGGCGCGCAGATTCTCTGGGATTCTGGTTCGTCACCACGTCGAGGACGCGGTCACTTGTGCCCCTGCGGAGACGGCTGCGGAAGAATTCCAGCTCTTTCTCGGCCTGCATCGCCTCGTGGGTTTTGGGGTCGCGAACGAATCGGGCCCAGCGGGCGCGCTCTTCTCGCCCCCGGCCGAAGGCGCCCTGGGGGCATGCTTTCGCTTGCCCCCGCTGCGCGGGGCCCCTGGGGGCGCGCTGGTGGAGCGGCGAATCTCCACGGACAGAACTCGGAAGTACGCTGACGAGCTCAGACAAGCCCGCGCGGCACGCTCGCCCGGAGAGCCGGGCGCCCTCGCTCTCGCGGGGCAAGGCAGGCGGAGTCTTCCTGCGAGCGCTGCATGACAAGGCCCATGGAGGAAGCTGCGACACGGACAGGCGTCTCCTGATGTCGGTCGACGGGCCCACAGACATGCTCGACGGCCCCAGCGAGCCCGATCTGCGCAGGTCCACGCTGCGGAGCCCGCTGGCGCGACCGCGCGGCGCCCTCGCCGGCGACGCCCGAGGCCAAGGCGAACCGCGCGGCACCGAAGCGCTCGGGGCCGTCTCGTTCGACGCGCGGCTCCAGCGGCCGGAGCGCCTCCCACTGCCTGCCACTCCCGCCGCCTCTGCGGGGGCGGCGCATCAGTGAAGCAGAGACGCCCCGGGCGCGGTTGGCCAGCCAGACGCGGGAGCACCACCTCGCCAGGGCCGACATGTCGCCGTCGCGGACACCTCCGCGGCCGAGGGCGTGGCCCGCAAGGGCATGAGCCGGTCGCCCGCGCCCCGCTGCTTGACAGCCGATATCTGAAGAACGATCCGCCTCTGGAGACCTGCAGGCGCGGGCGCGGGCCATCCGGCCGCCGTCTGCAGACAACCCAGCGGGCCCACTCAGCCGGCCAGACGCCGCGGCCGCAAGCGCGCTGGGCTGGCACAAGGCGCAGTCGCCCTCAGTGACAACGCGGCGGCGCCTCGACCCAGCAGTCCGGGGGCGCGCACGCCTGGCGCGCGCCAGCGGCCGGCTCGGCGCGGCAGGGCGCGCGCCCTCAGCGCCGCGCTGGCAGGGCGGGGCGCTGGCGCGCCTCGAGCACGCGGCGGGGCGGGGACGCGGCGCCCCCACTCCGAGTGGCGCGCGGACGCCCGGGGGCGGGGCTCGCGCACCTCTCCGGCGGCCGCGGCGCGCTTCGGGGCCGAGTCGCTGGGCGGGGCGCGGGCGCCTCCGCGTCGGCCAGCGCAGGCGGGCGCCGGGGGGCGGGGCTTGCGCGCCCTCCCAGCAGCCGCGTCGCGACCTTGGGCCATCATGCGGGGCGGGGTCGCAGCCCCTCCACACCGGCCGACCCAGGCGGGCGCCGGGGCCCGGGCGCGCGCGCCTCCCCGCCGCCGCATGCATCGCGAACCCTATGAGCTGCATCGATTGCGGCGGCGCTTGGAACATCATCGCCGTCGCCTTCGTCATCTGCGTCGTTGTTGTCTTCGTCTTCGTCGTCGTCTCCGCCGACGCCTTCTGCCCCCCTCCACCCGGGCGCCCGCCGCAGCCGCGCCCGGTGGATAGGTGGCCGCGCCCGCCGCGCGACGACGAGGGGCCTTTCAAGGTTTGCTCCTTCCCCCCCTCTCCCCCGCCGCCCCCCCCGCCGCCGTTCGCCCCCCCCGTCGCCGCCCCCGTCGCCCCCGGCCCCCGCCCCCCCATCCCCCCCTTCCCTGGGCGGTGGGGGGGGCAGGCGCTTCTCTTCGGGTTTGGCCTTTTTCCATCTTCTCGCGGTTCGGAGCCCCGGACCTGCTGCCGCGCGCTCGCCAGCGGCCGCTCGGCGCGGGCGCCCGCGGCTCTTCGCGCAGCCGCTGTCCCCAACACTCTGCGCGGCGGCCCTGTCCCGTTGGCCAGTGGCGCCGTAACTTTTGAGTCGCGGCGCGGTGCCTAGGAACCACCGCATGCGCGCGCGCTTTCGCCGCTGCGGTTTGCGCGCGCCGGTCGATTGCCTGGCCGTCGTACCAGAGGTCCGTCTCTAGTATCAATGTGTCGGATTCTGCCCTGAAGGCTGCAATATGCAACCGCGTCTTCGCACATTGCCTCGAATGCGCGTCGTTGATGCGTATCATTAATTTCTACTCTTGGGGGCGGCGCCGCATCGCGACGCCCACGAGGGCGGCCCCGCCCGCCGCGCCCCGCGGTCCTCGGGGGCGTTGCACAAGTGCGCGATCGGCTGCCGCTGCGCCCGTTTGCCTCGATCTGCGCCCCCCCCCTGCGCGTTCGAAAGTCGCGGCTGCTGCGGGATCTTTCTGCTGACCGCGTCATCTGGAGCTCTCGATCCCAAGTCCTTCTCCTGTGGCCAGTGTTAAATGGCGCTGGACATCAGAGAGTTCGTCTCGTTCGTCTCGATGCGACTGCGCGAGTCTCGACGGGAAAGAGGGGCAGCTGCGAATTTGAAAGCCAAGCACAGAGCCGCGGGGCAGCGTTCACAAGGCCCCTGGCCGCCTGGGCGCATGGACTGCCAGCGGCGCGCCGCTCTGGCACCCCGATCGCCGCGGGAGGCGAGGCGCCAGGCAGCTTCCAGGTCGAGAACGCCGCCCGCATCACCCCTCGCCCGCGGAGGCGCGGGCCCTGGCGCCCTGCGAGACATCGACGCATCGGCGCGCCTCTCAGAACACGCCCCGGACGCAGCGCGAGATTCCATAGGTCTGCCCCCAGGCCGCCGCCGGCGCGCGAGCGCCAACGCCCCGCCGCGCGAACAAGTGGACCTGTTACGCGCGGCGCAAGAGGGCGGGGGCGGGCTTGATGCGGTCGCTCTGGTCGGCATGATGCTTGTCAAGAAGGTCACGGCGTCGGTCGGCTGCGAATCTTCAGCGAGGAGCGTCGAGATGTTCTGCGCGGTCCTAGGACTGCCCTTCCTGCCGACTACGGCGCAGACCGTCTACGGGCTTGCAGCGCCGATTACCTACGGCGGCACGTCGAGAACAGCATTGTCTGCGCGGCGGAAGTGTCACCGTCTTGCTGGGCACAACTGGCCAGCGGAGCAGTCGCCGGCCCTGTCCGATGTGCGCTTTGGGGCAAGGAAGCTGACGACACCTAGTCCAACGCGCCCGCGCGCCCAGAAGATTGCGCGCGCTGCTGCAGCACTGCGTGGACAGGAAGGCACTGTTGCAAGGCGTGTCGCGAATGCTGGCGCGCGCATTTCTGCGGGTGCCACCTGAATTGCCAGAACAGCTCCAGACAGGGACCCCGCGGGTCGACGAGGACCGCACCGCGCATTACGGTCCGATTCGGAAGGAAGAACAGCTGCGGCAGCACTCCACGCTGGAAGCTCGATGCGTTCGCAAGTCAGACCCGCCTATGTGCGCGCACATGTGGACATATTGGCTACTCTCCAGCGATCTCGGCGAAGACGTCGCCGTCTCCCCCTCGACATAGCGCGGCAAATTCGTCGACGGTCTCCGCGCAGACCTCGCGACGATCGGCGCGCCGCCTGTGGAGAATCCGCAGCTTCGCATGCAGTCCGGCACGGCGCCGCGATCGACATCCACGAAGTCGACGGCCTCGCGGCGGCGTTCGCCCGCGGGGAGTGGAGGAGCCGCGCGGTCACCTCCTGCGTGCCGGCCTCGAGAATCGAATCGCGCGCGCGGGCGGGGGCCTTGTGCGAGGCCTCCGAGGACGCGTCGTAAACTTTGTTGAGGGATATCCGATGACGGGTCTCTCTGTTTCCCATTTGTCCCCCACTGGCGCGGCAGTCACACGACTGCGCCAATGGAGAGCGGGACAAGGAAGGAGTGAGGCAGGGGAACGTCTGCAAGTCTCTCTCAGACACCCCAATTGGCCCCCTCCTCGCCCGATCCGTCATCAGCCATCCCTCGGCTCAGGCTGCCGAGGGTTGGCGTTCTCCCGCCCGCATGCCGCCCATCGCATAGTGAGGGTGGTGCGG